CTACGTCTGGGGGACGATCACATAGGCGTCCAATCCACTAAATCATAATCCAATGTACAAAGGTAGATATACAATAATCTTACCCAAGTGCCCCACACACGGTACATACCCAGTCTACACAGGTTTAGTGGATTGTTGAAGCTGGAGATCCATGCATACAGTAGTCCAATGAAATCCCGTCACTTGGAGATCCCACTCTGATGCAGTCCACTTCAATGACGCTCTATACAGTTGTTCCCACTGATCACAGTGTCATTTCGTTTAAGCAGCAGTGATTTTTCTCAAGTTCATCATCTTAATCACCATGAACATATTGTGTTGAGAAGATGCATGACAATCAAAGATATTGTCTCGTATAGCAGATGCGGAGTGTTTCTTCTTACTTTCGGCGTAACCCTAATTCTCGTCGAATAAGAGTACTTATAGATCCATCAATAAACACTCTCCATAGATAACTTTGATTGTAGAAGGTAGGACTATAAATGAGCAATGTAATCTCTGAAGATTAGGTCCATACCTTTCCAGAAAATATACGCTGATCTTCTTTCCAAACTTGTCTGCTTATACCGCGAACAACCTTATAGAAATCAGCTTCCTAAATCAGATCTTCAGTGTCAGTCCCTCTGTTGTTGCTTCTGATTGATCAGTCGTCTGTAGAGCTGGACGGACAAACTCTAAACCTATCTTAGTATGCCATAATAATATTGCCAATTATAAGATGGGGTTTTTGAACAATTAAAACACTAACATATACTAATTAGCATTACATACTAATAAAATAAACTAATAAATTAGCCAATCTAACGTGTACTAATTTGTACACTTACAATCTCCCCCTTTGGCAATTTATTTGGTAAAACAATAGTATCATTATACTTTGGGAAAAAGAACGAATATTTTATTTTTATTGACATCCCATAGTATACGTACTGAACATATAAGAAAATGTACAATTAAATTCTTTTAGGACCAGACCAAAGCTTACTTGTGTGTGGGATTTTATTTTTGACCTTAATTGATGTTGACTCACATACTTCATCCAATTACCAAATAGTGAATCATGCACGAAATAGTGTTGTATCAAACATACCATATATGTCACCCTTTCCATACTGTAATTTGAATTACTCCCCCTAATTTGGAGCTTTCCTTTCTTCATATGCATTCCAATTAAAACCGATTCATACCATGCAGTCAACATACCAAATATACCAAGATAATTCATACTTAAGTCATACCAATATTATTAATAGCATCCGAACCAAGGATTAACATCCATATCAAAATATTCCAAAAACTTACCAAATATTCCCGACCAAATATTCTCATACTCCCCCGGCATCCAATTTGTTGAGGCAAGCCGTAAAAGAACAGAGTAGACCGTGGTGAGCTTTAGGCTTTCGAGTCTGGTGCTTGGCCAAGTGACGACTTTGTTGTGAGTTAAAGCACCGGTTAGGAGATTAGGACTCGGGTCAGGGGCAGCTTGATGATTTGGAGTACCCAAATAGGAATTGATCACGGCCAGACTTAAGGGATACCATTTATCCCGGATGAAAACTTGTTGAAACCGAGGTGACCCCTCCGAAAAAGTATCCAAAGACAAATTCGTGTAGAACTCGGCAGTGAGCCATGTGGAATATGGTCCAGCATGAACAAGTGGGGCAAGCAGGCATTGATCTCGCAAGATAGGCACAATGTTGCATTTTTCTGTCAACTCTTCCACATTGATGGATTTCTCCAGAATAAGATCTTTAGTAGCATGAACACTCCAATCAGACATCAAAGCTGGAGACAGTAAAATAGGGTGGTATTTCTTCTTGGGTTGTTTCATCTTTGAGCCAAAAGGGACAGTAACAGCTGCTGGTGCAGGGGCTGGACTTGGTACTGGGCCTGAAACTGATCTGGACCTTGTCATCCTGGGTGGCAATGTGAACCCTCTATTTGATTGCTTGGAATCAAACAAGCAGACAACATCCTCTAATGCTCCAATTTTTCTTTTCTCGGCTGTACCTGAAACAGTAAATTTTTCTTTCCCTTTTCGGGAAGATTTGCCCACGAGCACAGAGATGATAGGAACAGAGTCATGTGAGGTGGGCACAGGGATGGGAACCTCTGCGGATTTTGAGACTGGAATGGTTATGGGAATAGAGAATGCAGCACAAGTCATGGGAGACACATATTGGTTAATATTTCGAATGGTGAAGGGAGTTGACATAGCATACACTAAATCAGATAATGGCACAAGATTTTCAGGTAATTTATGTGAAGAAGAATCATACGGATCACCTTGTAAAGAAACGGAAGGGGCACACAAATCACTTGAGGTAGACACAAACTGATTCGGCAAAGAGATGTTGAAGTTTAATTTTCTAAAAGCAGAAACAGTTTCATCTAAAGGTGAGGATACTACCATAGTTTCCGGGGATGAGGCATGCACGGCTCCACTGATATGAACCGAGCTAGAGCTTGGATTTGTCTGATTTCCTTGCCCGAGAGTCCTTCAAGAAGGCTTGCATGGTGCTTGATTGTGGCGAGAACTCAATCCGTATCATCAGATGTAAGAGGAGATTCAGCGTTGATGATGTGGCGGAATAGCTCTAATCTTTCGGATTTAGTTGTGAAAATGGCGAAAGGGTTGTCTTCTTCCATTGTTGACGGTTTGGTGATTGAGTGTGGTAAAGATGAAGATGAAGATGAAGAGTGTGGGTTTGACGTGTAAGAGTAAGAAAGGCAAGGAGACATTTAATTAATGGGCTTCTCAAAAGTTGTGATGGATGGGATGAGTGATTTGACTAGTTTGTAGGGGTAGTAGTACAGTCATACTAGGGGAGAGTGGTGGAAGTTGTTTGGAATTATTATTTCAGGACACATTTAATTTTGTAGAGGTGTAAATTAATATATAGATATATAAGGTAGGTAAGCCGTGTAAGGAAACATGCAGGTATAGGATTCTTAATGATGCTTGGCATAATTAGAATGGTAAAAAAAACGAGAAATATTAAAAATAAGAAGGAGAGGTTTAGAATTTTGTTTTTCCTGCAACAAATAAATAACTATGTTAGCAAAAAAAAAAAATTAATTAGAGATTATTTGTTGTACCTGGTGTGGAAGATTAAGCTGTGGGATTAGATTTGCAAGATTTAGATTAGTATCGCTATATACTCAGCTTCTGCTGTGCTGAGTGAAATCGAGTTCTGCTTTTTACTTAGCCAGGCGACTAGATTTTTTTCGATAAAGAAACATCCGCCTGATGTACTTTTTCTATCGTCAGCGTTTCCTGCCCAGTCAGCATCATTGTATCCTGCAAGATTCAGATTAGTATCGTTCGAGTACCAAATACCATAATTTATCGTACCTTTAATGTATTTTATAATACGTTTTACCGCCTTTAAGTGTGATTCTTTTGGATCGGCTTGATAGCGTGCACACATCCCAACACTTACCATAATATCTGGTCGACTGGCTGTTAAGTATAGTAGACTGCCTATCATACTTCTGTACATAGTAGAGTCCACAGACGTTCTTTTTTCATCTTTGAACAATTTTGTAGTCGTGGAGATAGGAGTACGAGCATCTTTTGCAGATTCAAGCCCAAATTTTGATAGAAGATTTTTTGCATATTTTTCTTGTGAAATAAAAATCCCTTCTCTAGTTTGACTTACTTGTAAGCCAAGAAAATAGGTTAGTTCACCTATCATGCTCATTTCAAACTCTTGTTGCATTACCTTGACTAGTTGGTCTGTCTCTCCTGGTTATGTGGATCCAAAAACGATATCATCAACATACACTTGAGCAATTGTTATGTGTTTACCTGATCGTTTTATAAATAACGTTTTGTCTGATCCTCCTCTTTTGTAGTTGTTCTGAAGAAGATATTGAGTAAGTCTCTCATACCAGGCTCTTGGGGCCTGTTTTAAGCCATAGAGGGCTTTTTGTAATTTGTAAACATAGTCTGGATGATGTAGATCTACAAACCCTTTAGGCTGAGCAACATATATATCTTCCGAGAGATAACCGTTTAAGAAGGCTGTTTTAACGTCCATCTGAAACAGTTTGAATTTTAAGGCACAGGCAATCGATAGAAGGAGTCGGATTGACTCTAGCCGTGCAACAGGGGCAAATGTTTCGTCGTAGTCGATTCCTTCAATTTGGGAGTAGCCTTGGGCTACAAGTCGAGCTTTATTTCTAGCGATGTTGCCAGCTGCATCGGTTTTGTTGCGAAAGATCCATTTGGTACCTACAACATTAACATTGTTAGGTTTAGGGATTAGAGACCATACCTTATTTCGTTCGAACTGCCCCAGTTCTTCTTGCATGGCCTTGATCCAGTGTTTGTCTGTTAGAGCTTCTTTGATATTCTTCGGTTCGATCTGCAAAGTATAACAAGAATATCCTGCTAATTGAAGGTAATCACGTTTCGGTTTACCTCTGGTTTTTACGCCGGAACTGGGGTCTCCAATTACGTTTTGTATTGGATGAGCTTTCTGGATGCGAGTAGGTATATCAATGTTACAATGATCAGTGTCAGATTCAGACTCAGACTCAGTTCCTTGCTCAGGTTGAGTTGATGTGGGAGATGGAATAGAGGACTCTGGATTAGGTTCAGGAGTTCTGGAATCAGAAGTTTCAAGATGACTTGTGTTAGGTTCTGTCACTGGTCCAGGCTGAGACGTTGTGATAATATCGCTCGGTTGATCATCGATTACAACATTTGTGGACTCCATGATGGTTTTGGTAACTTTGTTGTATACACGATATGCCCTGCTGTTCGTTGAATAGCCGAGGATGATGCCTTCGTCGCTTTTTGGTTCAAACTTTGTGACAGGGTTTCGATCCTTCAAGATAAAACAGCGTGATCCGAAAACATGAAAATATTTAATGTTTGGTTTCTTACCTTTCTATAATGTATACGGGGTCTGATTCGTGCCTGGACGTAGATAGACCCGATTGATGATGTGACATGCAATGTTCACAGCTTCTGCCCAAAATTTTGGAGGTAGTCATTTGGCATTGAGCAGAACTCGTCCCATTTCTTGAATTGTGCGGTTCTTTCGTTCAACAACTCCGTTTTGTTGAGGTGTTTTCGGTGCTGAGTATTCATGCGTGATTCCTGTTTGGTTGCAGAAGGTATCGAACAGATTGTTGTCGAATTCTCGTCCATGATCACTTCGGATTCGAATGATGGGTTCATTTCTTTCTTTTTGAAGTTTTAACCCCAGAGTTTTGAAGGCTTCGAGGGTTTCAGACTTGTCCCTGAGAAAGGTAACCCAAGAAAAACGAGAATAATCATCAACGCAAACTAGTCTGTATTTCTTACCTCCAACACTTTCTGTTTGAGTTGGCCCAATGAGATCCATGTAGATCAGTTCCAAGCAGTGACTTGTGTTTATGGTGTGCTGAGCTGGATGAGAGGATTTGGTTTGCTTTCCTGCTTGACAGGCACCACAGATAGTTGGTTTGACTTTTAGCTTGGGTAATCCACGAACGCCTTCAATCTTCACAAGTTTGTCAAGAAGTCTGTAACTTAGATGTCCTAGCTTTTGGTGCCAAAGCTCAGTTTCATCTATATTGATCCTGCAACACAAAACATTGTTAGTGAGAATATAGCAATTATCAGTTGACCTTGTACCTTCCATAACACATTGATTTGTTTTGTCTAGGACACTGTAGTTATTCTTGGTGAAGCTCACGTTCTAGTTCTGGTCACATAGTTGACTTATACTTATAAGATTTGCATGAAGTCCCTTGACTAGTAGAACTTTCTCTAGTTTTGGCAGACCAACTACGTTTAGCGTGCCTATACCAGTGACTTGTCCTTTTATACCGTCACCAAAGGTAACTTCACCTTTGCTTGTATTTACGTTACTCAGAAATTTAGCATTTCCTGTCATGTGACGCGAACACCCGCTATCGAAGTACCATTTTTCTTCTCGACCTGTACTTTTAGAGTGAAAAGAGACAAATGAGATATAATCTGTCTTTTTAACCCAGATTTGTCTTGTAAAGGGTTGGATGTTCTTGTGTTTGAACTTCTCGATTCTTTGATCCTTGTAGAAGTAATAGCATTCAGGTCTGGTATGACCCCGTAACCTGCAATAATGACATACCGGGTTATAGGATTTATAATATGGCTTGAGTGATCTTACTGTACCAACGCGATGTGTCGCTGTGCTAGATTCTGGAATATCTCCTCGACCAGGGCCTGACGCTTTGACAAACACCGTTTTATCCTTTCAGCTGTTTCCTGTGAAACCCAGACCAAATTTTGCAGAAGTCTTTCTTCCAGACTCAGGGATCTTGTCAAGTGTAGACGTGGTATCCATCATTTGGATTTGGCGTTTGTAGGTGTTCAGCTCCGGCTTCAGAGTCTGTACCTCTTGTTTCAGTTTTTCTTCTTGGGCCAATTCCTCTTTAAGAAGCAGATCCCTATCGGCTATTTGAGTTTGATACACTTTCTTTGCATTTGTTACAATCCCTATTTCACTAGTTAATCTACAATTTTCTTTGCTTAGTGCTGCCCATTTGGGATACAACTTATTAAACTCAATTTCAAAAGATGATTCACTTGACTCTAAATCTTCTGCAGAGATATACTCGCCTCCCTCTGAGTCAGCAACATCTTCATGACACGGTCCAGCAGCCATATGTGCAGTAAAGGCAACAAAATTACCAGAAATTTCGTCTGGATCAGATCCTCCTGTTTCACCGTCCGAGTCATCATCACTCCAGGTAACTGCTGACATAGATTTCTTGCGTCGAAGATAGGTGGGGCAATCTGCTTGTACATGTCTGAAGCCCTCACATTCATAGCATCTGATCCCTTTACTGTTGGGTTTCTCTTTGGACTGTCCTGGACGTGAGCCAGAAGGCTTGAAGGTTGACGATCCTGATTTAGGATTCGCTTTAGATGATGACGCTCCCTTTTGCATATTCTTGTTTCGTGAACCTTTTGATACCTATTTCAAAATTTTGGAAAACTGTTTAGTCAGAAATACAACTGGATCATCACCTATTTCATCTAAATCAGGTATACAATTATTTTCTTCAGCAGTAAAAGCTACAGTTTCTTGTTTTTTTGTGTGATCTGTTAAGATTTCCATCTCATAAGTTCTTAGATTCCCCATTAGTTGTGTTACGGTCTTTTTCTCCCAGTTGTCATGTTCCTGGATAGCTGTAACTTTCATCCGAAATCGAGGTGGAAGAGATCGTAGAATTTTTTTCACCAACTTTTCTTGATTGAACGGTTCTCCGAGGACCATTGCTCGATTTGCTAGCTCTTGCACACGAGTGTGAAAGGTCACGATGGTTTCATCTTCATTCATCCGGAGCTCCTCGAAATCTGACTACACCAGTTGCAGTTTTGATTGTTTCACCGAAGTTGTGCCTTCATAGGTAGCCTCTAGAGCTTCCCATGCACCTTTAGCTGAATCATAACCTGCAACAATAGGAAATTGACTTTCATGAATTAGCCCATAAATAATATCTAGTGCCTTATCATTGTGTCCAGCACTCGTTTTTCAGCCTGGGTCCATTCATTTTCAGGTTTCGTCACTCGAGTTTCATCCTCACTAGTACTGGCTTTGGTTGGATGATCCCAGCCTGTTACAACGATACACCATGCTGCTTCACCTTGAGCTTTGAGATGAGTACGCATGCGCACCTTCCAATAAGCATAGTTGTCAACGACTAGCTGGGGAAGAGCCTTAGTATGCTCCATTCTGTAACACTTAACAACCCGTGAGATTGAACAATTTAACAAAATCAAAAATAATAATAATAGCCGCTGAAGAATTGAGTTCAAGAGGCACGGAGTAGCCAGATCGACAGACTAATAACTTAAGTCTGGAGGCTTTGATACCAACTGAAAATGCCCGTATATCTTGAAATCAATTTAACACTAAGGATTCTACTTGATTTTAAGTTACAAGACAATTTCGTTGTTTAATTAAATCAATTTAATCAACGAATAAATAACGAAATTGAAAGCATAAATAAAGTAAAGACACAGTAGAATTGTTACGCAGTTCGGAGCGCTTCTCCTACGTCTGCGGGGCAACCCACGTCTGCCCAATCCACTAGATGTTCACCACAGAGTATTACAAGAGGTAACTACAAACGGCTCACAGCCTTTACCACTACAACTCTTCTAAAACACCTATTCAGGACTGAACCGTGCATGCCATAACCATCTTTGGTGTAGCGCTTCAGCTGTCACAGGTACTGACTTGAAGTACAGAATAACAGAATTAAATCACAAATATAACATAATCAATATTAAGGCAGTGATATAGGAAACTTGCGTATGTGATTAGAATTTCAGAATTGGCAACTTCTTCTTTCGTTTTCCCTTCCTTATATACTGTACGCAAATTCCATTTCCCCACTCCTTGATTGTAGCTTTCATGTGGCTTGAATTCTCCTCAACCACATATTCTTTAATTTGAGATCTTCAGACTTGTTCTTGGTTCAACTCATTAAAGAGAAATCTCCACCACACATTCTAGCTTGGTCCAATAATACTAATTACAACTTATACTAATTAGCATTACATACTAATAAAATAAACTAATAAATTAGTCAATCTAACGTGTACTAATTTGTACACTTACAATATATATATATAGTCGAGTTCAGGTGTGGCGACCCCTTCCCGTGCGGTCGTGCGGCAGTTTTCAGAATACACCAATAGTTAAGCAAGATATACACCATCAACTTTAGGAAATGCACCACAAAAACACACACAAATTAGGTACGTGTCACTAACAACACACCATTAGGTATGACTAAAAGCACCACACAGTGTTCGGAAATACACCATTAGTGGTAGGGAGGTATATGGTGTTGTTTGGATGTGTTGTGTATTTTTTGGTGTATTTTTATATTTCATTGTTGTGTGTTTCTCTTACACTATTGGTGCATATTGTTAGCACTATTAGTGTATTATGAAAACCGTCGCACGACCGCATGGGAGGAGCTCGCCGCATTTGAACTTTTTCCTATATATATTGTTAACGGTGCACTGTGCAATATTTAGCGTGCACTGTACAATACATATAAGAAAAAGTTCAAATACGGTGAGGTCCTCCCGTGCGATCGTTCGACAGTTTTAGAATACACCAATAATTCTACACCTTAACTTCTGCCACACCTTAGCGGTTTGAAAACTAAAATTCTACAACTTAACTAGCTTGTTGATTATCCAGCCTTTCTACACCATATGATGTCGCGTAATGATATTTAAATCTTTGTAATATAAAATAGTGCCTACCACTAACACAATTCAGGCCGCATTGACATAAACAAATCAGTATATTCTAAGTACATCTTCCTTGCGACGTGTGACATGTGTGCCAAAACTCGATCTTATCTCTAATCAAAATCACACCATAATAATAATGACAATATCCACCAACAACAGTTTGAAACTAACTAATTCTCCACCGTCAAGAGAAATTAGGAATTGGTCAAGTTAGTGGCACAATTGACTAGGCAATCACATAAGATTTTCTCGTGATCCATTTTTAACTATGGCATAAGACCGGCTTTATTTAATACGCACATTTATGTAACAACAATGGATTTTTAAAAAAAAAAATGGTAAAAAATAAACATTTGTGTGAATTTTTTTTTTTTCTTCGGAAAGGCCACTTGGCCCCGTTAAGTAACACATAACGTCATTGCGCCCCGCGTCAGCCAGCATAAACTCTCTAAGACTATTAGGATGCTCCTCGAGGACCACCATGCCCCAGCTCCCAACTTGCTCCAATTTAGCCAATCTGTCTACACATTTATTCCCCTCTCTTAACACGTGCCCAATTTTGATACCCATCCCCCAAGTACTCATAATTCTTCTACGATCATCAAGCATGATTCCCACATTGTTGTTAAACCCCAAGTCCCCAAAAAAGGCCTTAACCACTGTCTCAAAGTCCAGTTCATCGTAATTCTGTTCCAACCCCTCTCCTTAGCAATCCGAAATCCTTCCTTAGCTTTAAGCCCCAAACATTCACTAAGAAGTTCGTAGTGGCTCCGATGTTCATAGTGAACCCCAACTTTTGTGTGATTTACTAACTATTTTATAGAAACAAGATTTATTCAGTAAAAATCTTATGTTAATAACTATGAATTTTTCTCCTTACAAAAAAATTTGTCTTTGTTGAGACAATATGCAAGTGTCTATTTGACTTTCTGCAGACTAAATTTCACAGGTTTAAAATGCATACAAACACCACGTGCATGTGTAGGCCTATGCGTGCTTGTGCTTCACCGTTTCTAGCTGCGCTGTGGGAATGTATGTGTATATGTATTAAATATTTGTGTATTATATACTCCGAGCATAGTAAAATAAAAAGATTATATCTACTGTAAATGATATCTGTATTTACTATTTTAGTAGATATTTGTGAATTGGTTAATTATCTTTAGAGTTAATACCCAAAATCGTCCTCGACTATAGTGATTTTTATCAATTTCGTCCTAAACGACTTTAGTGACCTAATATCGTCCCAGACTTTTGTGTTTCGCTCAATTTAGTCCCAGACTTTTGTGTTTTTGCTCAATTTTGTCCCTCATTTGTTATTCTATCCATTTGGTGTTAAATAAATAGACAATTCAGTAATTTTAATATTGTCATCTCTTTACTCATAGACATGTGAACTGCGAAATTCCTTTTTTTTTTTTTACGAATTACTCCCGGAATTACTCCTAAAACTGTGAATATAAAATTAGATTTGCAGGTCCGGAAGTAATTTTGGGTGTAATTCGTACAAGAAAGAGGAATTTCGCACTTCACAAGTTGAAAGTAAAGAGAGATCAATATTGACATTACTGAATTGTCCATTTATTTAACACCAATTTGACGGAATAACAAATGGAGGACTAAATTGAGCGAAACACAAAAGTCTAGGACGATATTAGGTCACCAAAGTCGTTTAGGACGAAATTGAGAAAAACCACTATAGTCGAGGACGATTTTGGGTATTAACTCAATTATCTTTATAACGACCATCATATTTATATTTTTTTATTTTATTTATTAAAGTGTTATATATATAGTTGTTCCTATAAGAATTAAGAATAAATTTTGAGTTTCTTGAGATTTCATCTCAAAAAATGAAGGTATAGAGGGACTCTATCCTCATAGCTAGGATCTTGCCTTAAGTTAAAATGTATGACTAATAATAGATGCATGCGTAATTTTCTTAAACTTATATAGCAACCAATTTCACGTTTCAAATGCACACCACCAGCTAAATGTTGGACTTGTTCTTATCATTCTCTCCACCAATACACAAAGTATATTGTATTAATAAAGTATGATGCTTAATGATCTTGAAAATGAGGGCCCGTTTGGTTTGTGAAAAATATTAGAAGATGAATGAAATTTAAATTTTATGAAAAAAAGAAATTATTGGAAAGATTGATTCCATTGTTTAGTTGGTAAAAAAGAAAACATTGTGAATATTAATTTTATTGTTTTGTTGGATTTGAAATTTTAAAGAATAACAAGTATAAAGATCAGTATGCCCCTATACAAGAATAATCTATATCTATATGTATCTTTAATATATATATATATATATATATATATATATATAGGGTCAGGTTCCTGTGAGGTCAGGTCTTCCCGTGCGGTCAGTGCGACATACACCATTAGATATGCATAAATGCACCACACAGTGTTCGTAAATACACTATATGTGTGGTGTATTTTATTTTTGTGTGGTGCATTTTTGGGCATTTCATTCTGGTGTATTTTCGAATATTGTATGGTGCATTTATGCATACCTAACGGTGTATGCCGCACTGACCGCACGGGAAGACCTGACCTCACATGAACCAAAATCTATATATATATATATAATAACAAAAGTAATTGTGAAATTTCCCCTCCCAAACGCATGGACAATTTAGTAATATCAACATCATTGGATAAAAGTGTCTTTTAGGATTAGTATTTAAAGACCTTAAATAGATGATTACAATTTCCTTTCGAAAAATCATTCAAATATATAATTCTCACATTTTTCACCTATAAATACAATGGATTGATGACTAAAGAAATCATAATTCTTCATTTTGCATTGCCTCCATCTGCTTCTCGCTCACTATGAAATCATAGCACTCATGACTCTCTCATTCCTTTCTTCCACTGCCCAGTAAGAAATCATAATTTTAATTTATGAAGCAAACTAATGTGTTAATCATCTTCACTCTTACAAGTGTAAGAGTACCCAGACCTGAACTATTTTGACGACGCCGCTACCACTAAGACCATTGTTCGTGGTGTTGCACCCATGAAAACGTAAGTGATAAGCCTCAAAATATGCTAGTTTTTAGGAACCTTTTATAGGAGTTTTGTGCTCGTTTTAATCTGAAAGTCTTGCTTTTTATAGTGAAATATTCTAAAAGCACGATTTAGTAAGGAAATGCCTTCCTAATTGTATTTTACATGTTTTTAGGTATTTTTGGACGGAAAAAGTGGTAAAAAAAGTTGAAAAGAGCAAGGCCGAGAAAAGAGCGCACACAAGGACCGAACGCACCGTGGCCACGCACAAAACAAAAAAGAAATGGGAATTATTTCCCATTTACGCCAGCTTCACGACGTGAGAAGGGGCGTGAGAGAGCATGCAAAGACAAGGGAGACTTATTCCCCATTTACACAAGGCATTACAGCGTGATGGCTAGGTAAATCAGAAATTAAGGAGCAAGACGGAA